CATGCTTCCAAGTGAAAGGGATGTTAAGAGTTTGTATAATATGTGTTCATATTCTTTCAGATGTCATCGTACATCATCGTATGATACGTCATCGGACATGCACGACACTGGCGCCCGACACTGGTGACTTGACTGAATCGTCGGGTCGCACGGGTGACTTGACCGATCGAGGAAAAACCCACAGCCGCAGGCGGTCTTTCCCGCCAGGTGGCCATTGGGAGTGTGCCGTGCACCTCTTAGAGGATGCGAGGCGAACATCCCGAATCCAGAGACTGTGCCGACTGTGCCCTTGAGGAAGGTGTTGTGACACAAGAGGAAGGTGGCAAGTAGCGGAGTTTGTTTCATGTTGAGGGAAGATGATGGGAGGTTTAGATTGGAGTTGCCACTCTTTGGAGAAACCAAACTCTATGCTGCCCTTAAACACCACCTGCTACATACCCAAACAAAGCTCGTGCATCTCGATAGGTACTTCTCAGGGTGTACTTTTTGCTATACTAACTACACTCTGTCTATTTACATCTATGCAAACGTACATCCATGGTCCATTTGCTACTGTTTTGGTCCAACTAAACCATCCCCATCAGCCAGTGCCAACATGCCGAAGTTCTTTTGCACTTGCACCAAGACGTACGTCACTTGCCCGTCACCCATGTCATCAATTCACGCGACCTCAAGAAGCAAACACGGACGCGTCGCAAAACATGCTCGGACGGCACCGGCGCCGCCCCGCACGATCCTATTCGAGAGTGGATTGTCAGGCGGAATTATGCAGCTCCCGACGGCATCGCATACAGTGCTACTGGGGGGCGGGGACAGTGGCGGCATGACCTCACTGAGGCTTTTATGGCAAAAGGCTCAGCAACATGTGCTGTCCATTTTGAGGAGGATGTCCCACTTGCCAGTCAAGAAAGATGTTCATATCATATATATATAATATACATCAAACAAATTGAGGGCTTTCTTCATGTTTGCCATCAACCAGTCCATTTCTTTGATAGAGTAATAGAGTCTTTGGAAGAAGACACCAACAGAAGTTGCCGAGTGTTCAGTAGAATTGGTTGAAACTTGGAAGACGTCAATTATCCCAGTGGATTGTCATCATTTTTGCTTGTTCAATTTGATGAAACGGCGATGGGTAAGTCACATTATGGCATTGTTGCTGAGAACTTTGACATTGGTGCATCCTGTGGTGTTGTTTCCAACACAACAGCCAACTATTCTGTAAGCCCGTATGCATCAGCAAGTGCCTGCTGGAGCATCATCTCACAGGTCCCAGCCACAGCCACGTCAGGTGAGGAATAATACCTCAATGGACATGCTCCAGGTTTTACCACCTCAATGGAGGTACGCACCTCAATGGAGGTACTATAGATACAGAAAAAATTGATGTCATCAACGAGGCCGTCGTGATCGATCGAAGGTGCTACCATGTCGTTGATCACTGCTGGGTGATCTGGCGCCGCCGCCAGGTGCTACCATAGATGCATGCCAAGTGGGCATGCAGTGGGACAAGGCGGGGGGGGGTTGGTGGGACACGTGTGGTCGATGCGGGGCAGTGAGCAGAGTATCGGGCTTTGTATGGACAGCGGCCAGGCCCACGTTGACGGTGCCCCACCGAGTGAAAAACCACCAACATTGGGGGGTGGCAAGCTGGATTTGCGAGGTTCTGGGGAGAAATGAAAGCTGTGTATGTTATGTTAATAATGTGCCGAACTCGGCAATCACACTGTTGGAAAGGCAATGGCTTCCAGAATCTTCCAGATATACTATGATTAACAGCTAGAGTTGGGAACCATCAATGGCATGTCCGGCAGAGCCGGAGAATCACCACTCGAAGACCGCGCAAACCTACTGTAGAATAAGTTCCGGTCCAGAAGTTCAAACAGGGATGGTTTGGGACTCCGTGCTAAACCCTGAATGTGAAGTGTTTTTGTGTTTATCAGTTTGCGTCAACGGATGCCTTCTTTTTCCCCTGGGTAGTTACCTCTTTGCTGCATGTTTGCCACAGTAGTACCCACACTTTCACCGAACCTTTCATGGGTCAGAGCAGAATGAAGAGGCACCGAGCTACAAAGCAGTGTTTGCTTGGCAGAATCATGTCCTTTTTGGTTTTGGGGACGCAATATCTCCCCAATGTTACTTACTATGTTTGTTTGTTCGCTTGGATGCTTTGCCGGATCACCCCTGAGGACATCTTAACCAAAGTTATTTTTTTTTAGAACTCACCAATTGGTTGTGTACAACTACAAACATCGGACCCCGCAACAAAAGCTGGAAGTCTTTTGGATTCAACTGGACCAAAGGTTGTTGGGTTCAATTGGCGCGACCGCCCGGCCGAGGCTGTGCGGCTGTTGCAGGTGATGCGCTCGGAGGGGCTCACGCCGGACGACGGGACGCCGCTGGTTGAGCAAGGGGAGCGGTGTTGGAAGGTGTGCTGGGGCGGTTCGAATGGCTGGGGTCTAAAGCCCTTAAAGGACCTGACCGGTGCGGATGCAGGATGGGGGAATATATGAAGCACCTTCGTCATGGACAGGATGGGACAGGATGCGGGGCATGGCAACCTTTGCCTCTATGATATTCATATTCACTGACCAAAAGCAGCAACGAGGACCAATCTCAGGACCAGCAGCAGCCGGGAAGTACAAAAAACATGGGTTTGTTCTTTCCATTGAAGATGGACAGCCCCAAGAAAAAGACGACAAGGCCATGAAGGTTCGCCAGATGCACTGAGTCTGGCCGACGGACCAGTGGTTACGAGAAAGAAAGTGGACGCAAGGCCAAAAGCCTCGGGCTGTTCAACAGCTGTGACCGGCTGTGACCATATGACATCATATAAGAGGGTTTCATTGTTTCATGGGGGGGCCATGAGGCTTTCACCGTCTACATCGACAGTGAGTTGGCCGTCTAAGACCTTCCATCTAAGACCTTCCGTCTACACACCGAACATCGTCTTTCGACGATGCCCTTTTCGCATCCGTCTACCGGCCATGTCTGTTTGGATGGGGTGATGACGTGGGAGTACGTGGCAAAAGGAAGCGAAAGGTGTAACCCCCCAACCAAAAACCCGCTTGGAACCGTCAGAAAACGGATACTTCAAGTAGTAGTAATAGTAGTAGTAGTAGTAGTAGGATGTTCACAGCAAGTTCCCATGAGAAAGGTCTTAGTTACATAAACTTCCCCTGAGCTTCGCGTAGTGACGAGTCGGTGCAGACGAGTTCCCGTAGTTGTCGACAACGTCCGGTGCAGAGTCGACAGTGATTTCGAAGCGGCATGCCCATGGCAACTATGCCGTGGGCATCCTATTCATGACTATTCATGACTATTCGGGTCAGAAATCAATGCGGGTCAGTTGGAATCAATGCGGGTTGTGTTTGACGCACTGAGGATGATCTCAGTGATCATGTCGTTGGGAGGCTCAAGGAGCGGTGTGTTTCGGCCATGTTTTGTCACCGAGGGGGAACCATGTTTACTCAGAAAACAATTTGTTGTTTTGTGTGGGTCACTTTGCGTTCCAACATACATTTACATTTATATACTGTTATTTACTCATTATATCTCATTGTCAAAGTGAAGTGCACAAAGTTTGCAACACTGATTAGGGTAGAAGGGTGATAGGTTGCAGAGGCTCTTTCTTGTACCACCACCCAAGCTGGATAACTGCAAGCACAGCTACTGGGTATGACGTACGCACAGGGGCAACCAGCTAGCTCCGGCTACTCACATACGAGTCAATTGTTTACCTCATATCACTACAACAAGGAGCTGACAAGGGAGCGCTCAAGGTAGGTTGCACAGCAGAAACAAATAATGCGCCTTCCTCAGACAAATGATTTCAATCACTGCTGTTGGGACGTATGGACGTCCCTAAACCAAGAAGTTGTTTATATACATAAAAATTGCATAAACGTTTTTGAACATATCAACCTGAAGGAGTTAGCTATCTGGAAACCTTTGATTTCACGATGTTAATGCTCCTGGTCAGGCATACGAGCACTCCGACTCACTAACATGGAAGTGGAAAACCATGCAAAACCCCCTGTGTGTAAAGGAAAGTAGTCTTCCAAGGGACCATTGTCACGTGAGTCAGAGCATACTTGAGCCAGTTGTTTTGTGGACTGTAAAACCGCCAAAGTCCTTTGCCCAGGTGCCGCGAATGTGAGCAGATTGCTGTGGCCGAGGAGTGGTGATGCTCAGTGGAAGGTTGGGCAAACGGAGGACATACAAGTTATGACTATTATAGTAGCGAATATAACTATTCAGATGTTATCAGCAATGTTTGGTTCATTTTGGCAACCTATATGTTATTTGTTTAGTTTTTTTTTAGTTTTTGCTAAATTAAGTCAAATTATTCATTTCATTCACAAGAAATCTACTGTAACTATCAAAAGGCTTGTTCCCTTTGGTTTCAAGAACACCTTGTTGCATGAGGATGTTCCCTTTCCGTAGTGTTTGTCGGGACGTCGTGACCGTAACCGGCCATCGGCCGGTGACCGGTGACCGGTGTTGGCTTCACCGTCGTTCGTTGTTGCATGCTTAACAGGAATGATCCGCGATAGTGTTTGGAAGGTGATGGTTGTTTTGTGTTCCATATGTTGTGTTTTTCATTTTTTCCCAGGTTCCTTAAGCAAATCCAAGGGGAAGGGAGTAGGTGTCTTTTTGTCTTGCTCAAATGCGTCACTACCCAAATGCATCCTGCACTCTTGCTGTTGAGCTGGACTCTCCAATTGGATCAGGTTTGATCCCTCATTTGGTCCACAAAGAAAAGTGGTACATCCTTGTTTGTCAGGTTTGTGAAGCCACTTCTGCATGTGATTTCCACTTGAAGCAGGTCCCATTTCCTTTCCAAAGTTACCAAGATCAGACACAGCAGGCTCTGGATGGATTGCACGTAGATTCATACAGCTGCCAGGCTTTTCGCTTTGCGTTTGTTCCGGTTACCAATTCACATCACCTTGACAAACGCAATATTCCAGAAGCCACAAGCTGTCGGCTGGATTTATTCCCTTGACAAACACCTGGCAGCTGTATGAATCTACGTGCAATCCATCCAGAGCACAGCTGACTACAGCAAGGCCAACCACATTTTGTAGAGACATGGTAGGCAAGAGCTGTGTCACCAGAAGACTGCACAGGGTACACGCAGAGTGTTGTGTCAACTTGTTTCATTCAGTATATGGGACATGGTCATCATCACTCTTGGCGCAAGACCACGCAGTGGCCCGCAAACATGGTGTTTCCAAGGACTGGTTCTTGTATGTTCAAGAAACAAAACATATGTTGTTCTGTAAACTATGCAACGTATGTCAGACATTATTCCATGCGGTTGGCGCTTATTTGGGGAAGATGGTGCCTGGACCAACCTGGCGAACATTTCGGTCATACAAAAGCGGTGTGTAAGATGGTCAAGACCTGACTGACCAGCTCTGAGCAGCTCTGGGATATGAATGGTTCGGTTCAGACCCCCACAATCACTGACAGGACACTTTCCACCACTTCCGATAGGGACACGTAGATGAAACCCGCTTGTTGACAGTTGACGCATTCGAGACACACCCCGTCAGCCCAGCAGTTTTGACATATCAACTGCTCAGTTTGATACCTGCGCCTCGTATCCCCCACTTTCCACAAGCATCTACAGAAATCAATGGATTGTCCATCATTTCACCTCATTCATCATCCCAAATCACTCCGGACCAGCCGAGGCTTCAAGAGCTGCTTGACGACATGAGGAGATCGGATCACACTGAAGCGAGCGACTTGTGGCGAAGAACACTACCCTATATACAATTTATCAAAGGAAGTTTAGTGTGCAAAACTTCCGTGTTACGGACATTCAACAGCTGTTCAACCACCACTCATCATACACCACTCATCATACACCACTCATCATATATCACTCATCATACACCACTCATCATACACCACTCATCATACACCACTCATCATACACCACCCATCATACACCACTCATCATACACCACTCATCATACACCACTCATCATACACCACTCATCATACACCACTCATCATACACCACTCATCATACACCACTCATCATACACCACTCATCATACACCACTCATCATACACAACTCATCATACACCACTCATCATACATCACTCATCATACACCACTCATCATACACCACTCATCATACACCACTCATCATACACCACTCATCATACACTACTCATCATACACCACTCATCATACACGACTGATCACACACCACTCATGATACACCGCTCATACACCAGCTCTGGTTTCAACAGCTCAAGCTCCAGGCAACTCCAGCTCCAGGTGCAGATTTCGTGGCAGGTGCAGCACTTTGTGAACCTCCATGTGCAGATGTCGTGGTAGGTGCAGCACTTTGTGAACCTCCATGTGCAGATTTCGTGGCAGGTGCAGCACTTTTTGTGAACCTCCACGTGCAGATTTCGTGGCAGGCACAGCACTTTGT